TTGGAAGTGCCAGGACTTCGGATTGAAACTGAACGTCCAGGTCTTCACCTGCTTGATGCAAGCATGCCTTCTGAACAAGACGCCCGGCTGGAGATATGATGTTGCAATGAGAGATGCTTGTCCTTCCAGCGGTCCAGTACCGAATGTGCTTGCTGATTGGTACGCCGAGAAGTCCACGCATGCTTGCTTGCATGGCTATTCCCCAAAGGAAGGTGCCGAAGGCCATGCAGATCTACGGTGACATGATCAGTCATCGACTCGGTCGACACGGAACCGTAGCCGAGCTTCATCGCTGTGTGCGCGTGTGTGTGTGTGTGTGTGTGCAGTTGAGGCCTAGTTTCTGTACTCCGGCATGTTACTTATGACCAGCATACTCTACCGCTTCGCATTTGCTGACCTGTGGCAGTGCCAAGAGCGCCACAGGTGAGCTGGGACGTTTACCAGACCGGAAAGCCCACACGGTATTGGTGGAGCAGAGCTCAGAAGGGGTCTTGGGATGTTGAGGTTCGGGGCCCTAGCTCTGAGGAGATGAGGAGTGGCCCAGAGATGTTAGGCTGAGTTGGAATGCGAAAGCTGGTATAGCACTCCTTGCGTCGTGCGGAACCATACAGAATCGAAGCATGATAAGCACCCTAAACCCAATACCCTATTAAGTCCCTTGCATAAGGGTGGGCTTGCCCAGGATGGCTGCATCCAAGCTGCCGCCTTTGCCGAGGCGACTCAGGTGCGGAGAAGAGGGAGCCTCGCTAGCTCTTTTGAGGTAAGCAGTGTGCACGCCATTCGCTTCGAGTCTGTGTAAAAACCTCTGTGCCTTTGCCTTTGCGTTTTCGCCTGGCGCCGCCTGATGCCGATCTGGTCGCAAGAAGGCAGTTTGGCATCTGCACTCACCAGTCCGCCAGCTATGTGTCCCGTGGCAGGTCGCACGAATCGCGTATGACCTGCAGAAGTGGTGCGCTTAGAACCTAGAGCTGCGTCCTGATGCCCTGGGCTCTGAGTCAAGCGACATGCAGTCTGGATGCATGGATCTTTTGTTGCATGATAGAAAAGTCATGTGTGCACCCCAAAGCTCCGGTGCCTCACAGCTCACAGTCCTAGGCCGGAGGTGCCGGTGAGATTCCGTTCAGATGAACCTGTCGTGCACTCAGAACTCAGACGGTCGGTGAGCATTGGCTGACCACATCTTTGTGCACCGCAGGGCTGACTTTGCGGGATTCGGGCGACGGGGTTCTGAAGGGATTTCGAGGTCGGTGTGGACATGAAGACCTTGTCCGACCTGGCTGGGAAGGCACAGCCTCTGAGTTGTCCGTCCATCCCAGCTTGCATTTTGGGGAGGCTTTCTGTATTCCTTTGACGAGCGCAGGCTCGCAACGACTACAGGAATACGTGTATCTATCGGCATGCGCTTAGCAGTACGAACGGATGCGAATGCCCAAGATCGAAAAGCCGAACCCAGGCTTAACATTTCCGGCTTCGGACAATGAAGTCGCATCTCCACGTACAGTACGTCTTGTGGCCGTGCTGTTTCGAATCTCGTGCTTGCAGTCGCTATCACGGCAGTTTTCAGCAGCTCGTCCTTCCGATATGGCTTCTTCAATCTGTTTCATATTTCCGGTGAATTCACATTGAAAGCACTGATACACTGGATACATGCTACTGTCTTGCCATGTGATCATGCGTGCTTTTGGAGCGGAGGGTAGTGTGGCCGGCGACTGACTTTGCAAGCATGCAAAGACAGGGATAGCAACAAGAAAGGCAACATAGCTGGCATCGTCATCTCTTAAGGTCATTGCTTGCCAGTGTGTTTGTGTGTGCCTGTGTGCGTGTGTGCTTGTTGCTTGTACATTTGGGCACCTGCATTCTTCAGACTGCACTTATCATCCGCTGTGCCTCCCATCAGGGCTCTTACGGACTACTCTTGCGACTCTGGTTTTGGGATGTTGCAGGTTTTTAGCGGCCCGAGTTGCTGGCGGTCGCCCAAAGCCACAAAAACGGGTGCGAAAGCCGGTCGAGCGCTGAAACAAAGCCTCAGGGCGACATTGCAGGTGCGTGGAGGGAAAGTGGATCGCAAGACGGCGGACCTGGTGCTCGAGGCCATCAGGTCTCAGATTCGGAGCAGTTCGAAGAGATGCTAGCACAACAGATCCTGAAGACCTATCAAGATGGGTTCTATAGGTGTAATCTAGTGCTTAAAAGTATATTGTAAGAAGTTCATCATGGTTTCGGGCTTTGTGGAGGGAGCCATGCAAGTCCCTGGGCTGCCTTCGCAGGTGCTGGACGTGGCAGATCCTAGTGGAAAGTTGCGAAGCAAAGCGAGCCCGAGTCTCAGTCACAAAGAAGGCATCCAAAGCCTTTGCCGAAGATTTGAAGCTAATGTAGAAGCCTGAATAGTTGCAAATAGCATGTCCTAGAATTTCAAGTTAGATCTATAGTTGAATGGAGTCCAGTCACACCTCAAAGCCCAATTTCTAGTTATTATGGCCACCCCTAAGCCCTAAACCCTTCACTACAACCCCAAACCCTAAAACCCTAAACCCTCAAGAACAGGGTCAACAGAAATTGTGTGACTTTGGCTTCGAGCTGCATCTTCACTAGATTCGAATTTTCATTAAACGTGTGCAAGTCCCCGAGTCCACCCCCTAGCCCATCCCACCGAGCCTCCTCGCCCAGCCCACCCGCTCAAAACGTTCGCTCAAAGCCCGGTAGCCGCGGCAGCCCAAGCCCTTGCCCGGCCCAATCCCAAAATCAAAATTGAACAGCAGAAAAGCGAAACCCGGTCCAAACTTTCGGTCAAAACCCAGGACCCAACCAAACCCTGTACAAATTCTATAAACCCTAAATTACTAAAACCCCAAACCCTAAAACCCTAAACCTTAAAACCCTAAACCCTAAACTCGAAAAGGCCACTAAGTCAAGCGGATGACTTCAACCGAGGCTCGGGAGACTGGGCGGAGCAGGAGGCCAAGGCAAGGGAAAAATGGCAAAGTGGCGCGCGTGTATATCGAATATGAGATAGTATAATAGAATATAGAACTGAAAGGTAATATAATATGGTATGTTATAATGTATGTAATTTTATGCAATGTAACGTAATGTAATGTAATGTAGCGCAATGCAATGTAATGTGTTATAGCATAATGATATCCATTGTAGTACAATATAAGATAACATAGTATAAGATCATGTATATAATACACGATATTATAACATAGAATAAAATACTTCAATACAACATCATAACATAACATATTTTTGGAATGTATGCACATGTATATATCTATCCATATCTGTGTACACATGCACATATACACATAGAATAGACGCTGTACATGCGAAACTTACACTTTAGATATTCCATATATATATATATACATGAGCATATATATATATGCATATTGTTTTTAACCTCACTAGTTACTAGATATAAAGATCAATTTCGGTAGTTTGCTAAACACTCTCCGCAGAGTTGCTGGAGGTGCCTTTTCGTGAAAATAGGCCTACCGCCTGAACTTCCTTCAATCAACAACGTCTATGGAAAAAAGCACACTTCACGTATATGTATGGTATATACAAGTATATATATATGTATATATGTATATATATATACATATAAATATACATGCTGTATATGCGTAGAGCAAGGAATTTTGGAGTCAACGTTCGTACTTCGGCTGTCCAGGCGGAGGAGGGCTGGCAAAAGGCTGGCAGCCGCGGCAAAGCATGGCTAGAGTCGGGATACGAAGCGTGGGAGAAGCAGGGCTCGCGAGGTGCGAAAAATGGCTACTCAAACAGATCTGGATCAGAGCACAGTGGATGGAATTCCGGCTGGGATTCTTGGAATTCCTCCACCAACGCTTCACAAGCGTGGAGAGGCCGGAAAGGGTATGAACGGTAGGACCATGCACGGCGAAGAGAAGTCGAGCGTAGTGTAGGATTCCATGAGAAACCTCAGCGCAGGCGATACAAAATCTTCTCGGGGCAAAGGCAGATCCCGAGGCGGGCAATTTTCTCCATGTGCTCCGTATTGTACAGGCAGCAGTGGATAGGCTCACACCGAAACGAGGGCAGAGACATGCAGAGACTCTTTCTTCACTGACTCACTGCAGGCTGAATGTCGACAGAAGCTCCGGCATTTTTTGAAACTTGGGGATGGGTCGGAACAGCGATCCATGCCTTTTGACCATCTGTCCGTGTGGACTCATCAGTAGAAATCTTCTGTGCAGAGCGGGAGGCTGCTTCAGCTTTGCACGATTTCCATGGCCTGCAAAGGTCATAACCCGATAATGGCCAGCGCATTCTGCGAAAAGTCGGATGACATGACATGATGCGCCAGCCACGAACTTATGCAGCACACGAGAGGACTGAGAACAACATCTAGTGATAATACTGCATGTGTGCGAAAACCAACGCCTCCAGGATCTGCATTCACTTAGGGTTGAGGGGCGCGTTTCGCGGCGATGGCCGCCCTAGGAGCGATCCAAATCCTAGCTGCTTGAAGCGTTCAGGTGAATGACTCCTGCAAACACCCGTGCTTTCAGCAAGTACGCACCTGCCTGCTGAGGCTAGGTGGTTCGTAGGGACAGAGCATTCAGGAACGTCTTAAATGCGTTGGCTGACAAGGAAGCACGGACATAAGACCAACCAGACAACAAACAAAGCACAAAGCAAGCAATCGCGGAAATGCTTCGTGTAGTACACAAACGTTTTGCGGCAATGCTGTGCAGCTTGGTTGGTAGGACGGCATGTCCAGGAGCCTGACATTTGCATTTCACCCCGCAGTCATTCAGCCCGGCAGAAGCTAAACACCTCGGAATTTACGTCCAGATTTACACCCAAAGGACCTAACAAAGGACTGACAGAAACACCAAAACGACACGCACGCAAAGAGACTGCCTGAGACCAGGGCCCTCCCCATGCCCTAAAGCAAGACCAGTCGAGCAGACTCCCTGAAACCCAATCCCAAGCCCATCAAAACAGCCTGACCCCCTGTGCACGGGAATCCCATGGAAGCTGATTCGGGCGAGAGCCCGGAGGCAGGCGAAGATTGACATGTCAAGCCGTGAACCATTGCCAACAATCGTTATCATCTTCGCAGCAAGAGGCTCATATACTCGTATTTTTTCTGCATATACCCCGAGTCATCCTCAGCTGTGGAAAAGGCCAACGGCTACCGAACTGATAATGAGTGAGGATCTTCTGCAGAAGTAGGGGTTCGTACCCTAAATTTAACCGTACAACAGCGACAAGGTGCTGTTCCTTAGCAAAGAGCTCAAGTTGCTGCTTTGAACTTCGGGGCATGTCTAAACTCCACAGCTGCAGCTGCAGGGTAGGACTTGCTTTCAGCCGAAGTCTTCAGAATCGAGAGCCAGAGCCAAAGCTGGGAGGAGCCAAACCTTCAACCCCGACTCACCTTAGCCTTACAGAACCCAACAAAATCTTGCGTAAGCCTCAAAAACCTCATTCAACAGGCATAGTGTTATTAAAGTCTATCGAAATTCCGCGCAAAGAGAGCCGCGGCCAAGACAGGAGCTCGCTCGCCTCCGGAAGGAGCGGTCGCTGCTGCTGGGGGAAACTTCGCCTAGTTTAGGGATCAGGATTCGGGTTCCTATACGGGTTCTTTACGGGTTTACTTGAGGGGTGCTGTGGGAATTTTGTAGGTGGGCGTGAGGGTGTATCGGGGCTTTTCATGGGTATTTACAAGGTGTCTTGGAGCTTTTAGGCCTAATGTTTTCTACACGGGTCTCAGGTTTTTCTTAGGGTTGTATAGGCTTCATAAGGGGTTCCATAAGGCGTGGCATAAGCGGCTTTTTAAAGCTTCAATGATGCTTTTAGGGTCCCTTTAAGCTTCTATACAGAGGTGCTACAAGGTTGTCTTAAGGTCTTTCAATCTCTGTTGCAGGCGTTCTATAAGGGGTACTATAGGGGTCTCTAAAGGCTTCAGAGGTTAGATCCGATGTCTTTTTGTATAGGGTTTCCAAGTTTTTGGGATGTAGATTAAAGTTCAGGCTATTTTCAGTGTGTTCGACATGAGGTCTCTGAGGGTTCTTACACGGTTTTGATAAGGGGCACCCTTTTTGGGGCTCAGAGTTTAGGTCTTTGGGGTTTTGGGCTGTAGGGTTGCGGATGTAGTGATTACGCTAAGGGACAGGCAGCAATAAGCAACAGCTGGACATCTATTCAAGAGGAAGCGGGTCAAGTTGCAGGGAATTCGTTTGACTGGACGATGACTCGATCTTGCTTGAAAGCGCTGCATGTGCTAGGGCTTGCCCGGCGTGCTGGGCAATGGAGTTTATTTTTACGTACATATGTCTATCTATATCTATATCTATATATGTATATGTATATATATATGTATATATATATGCACTGTTACATCATACACATAATATGTACCTCACTATATCTGTTTGTGGGCGTACAATTGTACATGCATGAAAGCACATACACATAATTACACATACATACACACATACATCAACATGCAGAGGCATATATATATAATGTGTATATATATATATTTGTATATTATATATATATATATGATGTGATTACACTCCTGGGACTTATGCACATGTGTTTGGGGTGTCCTTGTGCGATATGGAAAGAAGCAGCTAAGGAGCTCGGCACGCTTCGCGCGAAGTTTGCTCGGAACTCAGACATGCAACGAAGCAAGCTGGAAGACTTGCAACAAGATGTTCCATGTCGGCTGCAACATGTTGCATCTGCTGTATACAATATACTACAACAGATAGAACAGATATGGCTTGTCTCCCCGTAACATGTAAAGTCTGGCTTCTCACTCAGCAGGAGCTCACGCTGCAGACGCTACGGTCCATCCTGGGCCTTGAGCTGAATTGCTCCTGGGCGGACATCGTGGCTTCCCAGCTGCAAAGCGGTGTTGATAGGTACGTATACATACCATGTACCAGTACATAAGAGTGGCCGTGCTGCGAGGATTAAGTAGTAGCAACAATGACAATGACATACTCATACCGAAGGCCCCAGACAGCTCCTGCATGCCACCTGCATACCCAGAGCGAGGGCCGGCGGACCAGGGTGACCAGGGGCCAGTGTGCTTAGAACCCCTCATAGTTGAAGCTAACCGTGGAACTGATAATCGTACTGCTAGAAGTGTGGACGTCGAGATGGTGATGGGGGCCTTGGTCTTGGGGGAAACCACGATCATAATGGCCGGCTTTCTAGGTGTGAGTGCTCAACACTTGTTGTAGTAACACGACAATGTTCATGATGGCGAGAGTGGCGGCGGCGGCGTTGGCGGCGGTGGTGCTGGTCGCACCAGTGGTCGCATCAGTAGCACTATCCCTGGTGCTGAGTGGCAGCAGCAGCGGTAGCAGCAAGTTTTTGGTACTACTTTAAAGACTCTCGTCCTCGTAGAAGCAGCAGCAGCCGTTGTGGTAGTCGTAATAGGTAGTGTTGGTAGAGGCAACAGTAGTAGTAATCGTCGTCGTCGTAGCAGCAGCAGCAGCAGCAGTAGTAGTAGTAGTAGTAGCAGTTTTATGTGGCGGTGCCCCTAGGGGGCCGCGCGTTTGGAGACATTGGCTTTATCAATGCGACACGGTCGTGGGCCACGACCCGAGCGAAACGCACATTTTGCATGGGCGAGCAGCTCCCGCAAGCAGAAGCAGTAGCAGAAGTAGCAGTAGCAGCAGTAGTACCAGTAGTAGCAGTAGCAGCAGTAGTGGTAGTAGTAGTAGTAGTAGTCGTCGTCGTCATCGTCGTGGTGGTGGTGGTGGTAGTAGTAGTAATAGTAGTAGTAGTAGTAGTAGTAGTAGTAGTCGTGGTGGTGGTGGTAGTAGTAGGAGTAGGTGTCGTACTAGTAGTAGTGGTAGTGGTAGTGGTAGTAGTAGTAGTAGTAGTAGTAGCAGCAGCAGCAGCAGATTTAGTAGCAGTAGTAGCAGTAGCAGTAGTAGCAGTAGTAGCAGTAGTAGCAGTAGTAGCAGTAGTAGCAGTAGTAGCAGTAGTAGTAGTAGTAGTAGTAGTAGTAGTAACTGCTGGTGCTGGTTAGGAGGTGCTAGAAGCAGGCGGCGGACACCAGTAGCAAGTGCAAGGACACTAAATCCAGTCTATTTAAGATTTCCAGTCACGCTGCCCAAGGAGCATGTAGAATTACTTGGACGGCTTGCCGATGGTCACAAGGGCCAAGACAAGTCCATCAAGGAGGCCCGTCAGTCTCGTACTCCGCCTATATAGTGCGGGGAGGTGAGGGCATGTGCAGTCTTCGGGGGTAACAAGAGGGCTTCTCTTCGACTAGAATAATTCGGAGTCCTGTGACATTGTCCAGCAGGTTCATTCGTGGCTCACCCTCCCTTGTCGCAGCCTGTGCAGGATTTCTAGTTTGCATCCAGGGCACAAGCTGAGGGAACGCAGCATCCGAAATGATCCCCAGGCTGCCATTGCGGTTGACATATTTCTAGGAAGGGGGGGCTGCAGGCAAACAATAACGTGACGAAGACGATGATCAACGGTGGTGAAGACTGGGGATGGGGGAGGGCAGGACGAGTGGAAGGAGGAGAAGCAGGAAGACGAAGAGTATCGTAGTGGAGATTCTGGTCAAGAGCTGACTCGACAGGAAGGCTAGTCAAGTCGCCAGAAGCTAGCAACCATTGATTACACTCGGTTTCAGATCACTACCTAAGACTTTGCAGTTTCAGCTCTTGAAGCCTGAGACCCACCTTGACTCTGGAATCCTGCTTTAGCTTCTTGGATCCCCGCGGCATGGTTTGGATCGTTCTGCTGTCGCCTATCCCCACAGCTGGTCCCTACTCGAAGGAGGAAGACGACGACGAGGAGAGTGAGGCAGAGGAGCTTCGACAGCTGCTCCTGCAAGCAGAAATGGCCCCTGAACAGCAATGCTTCTCGATTTTTTGCTTGAAAGCGTTGCTAAACGGCGAGTATGCGATGGTTTTAGACTCTGAGTGAAAAGGGTTCCCGTCGCAGGAAAGTTTTGTCACACTGCGGAAAGTGACCACTCGGAGAGTGCTTCTAAGGACCTGGATGAAAAAGAGCAGCAGCTAGAAGAGCAATGCGCTCGCGTTCGGGACCTTTCTGATGTGCTATCCAAGCAACAAAATGCTGGCGACTCAGGCATCCAGTACACCGACATCATTCCTTACGGATTACGCATCCTTAATCACAAGCACAGAACGTATAATCACCGCAACACCCGCTCTAGTTATTAAGGCCCCTATACTAGAGTTACTAGAACCTTGAAGTAGCCTTTCAGTCACGAAGCAAGCGGCTGAATCCAGTCAACATGACGGAGCCTTCTCGAAGTCAACCAGCTGCTAGTAGCGGTGAGCTTTCGTGATTATTGGCCCTTTACAATGTCAGTCGATTATAAGTGTTTCTGGTGGGCATTGCTCATGAAAGCTCGCACTCTCACCCCCTCCTCTGCAGATTTCCTCGTTAAACCGCTGCAAAGGGCAACGATTTTTAGTGAACCCTGGCCAAGCTTTGCACTGACCAGATCAGAACGACACCCAGGGTGGATCTGCATCACTGGTTTCCATGGGGGCGGCCATGCCGGTGACGTTTATTTGACACTTCAAAAATCGAAATCGAGTCATCCTCTAGCAGCAACCCCGTTCAAGCTATCTCAAACGGTTTATGCCCAGTACTGCCGGAACAGAAGAAGTGGGTTTGTGCAAAGCTCGGGATCTACGAACCTACCTGTAGGCGGGTTCCGGAAGGAACAGATTTTGCAGACGGTTTGGTGCTGACTGGACTCAGACGTTGGGCCTAGGCCCAAAAGCTCTGTGACTTTGGAACTGAACCCGGTTCACGAGTGATCCTTTGATCCTCACAAGCGCAAGAGCGTATGCTTTGTTCATGAACATTCGCCCAGGTCTTGGACATGACGCCCCGGCTAGCTTGTGCCATCGCCTGACATGTAAGCACCTGGTTTTGAAAGGTCTGCAGCCAACGGCCCAGACTTCCTTGAAGCACTTTGCTCTTTGACAGCACACGGCCAGGACATGTGCGCAACTGTCAAACCAAAACGAGCAGAAGGACTGCTGGCGGGGTCTAGCCGTGCGTTAAGGGTGTTGCTCAGCACCCAGCCGGGTCGTGACCTCTTGACTGCGATCCGCTGTTCCCATGGTGGAGCGCTGCAAGGATCTGGTGAGCAAGCAGCGGGAAGAGCTTCTCAGCCACGTCTTTGCTTTGGCAGGGGTTTCCTGGGGTCTGCAGGAATATCGTCTTGGGCTCGAGTGCTGCTCCGAGAAAAGACCTTCCAGTTGCGTCTCCCGTGCTTGAATTGAAGGTAGCGGCCCGCGGTACCTTCTACAGTTTCGGGCACCTTCAGTCTGGTATCCCCTAGCTTACCGGCCCAGAAATTGGATCAGACCTCCATTCGTCCTGGGATGTCGGTAGAATGGCAGGCTTCTGCGCACCACAGCTGACCGTGATCGGCTTAATGATGAGCGAAATCGCTTGCGCGAAGAGGCTACCTGTTACATAAGCAAAATCTTGACATTGACGGCAAAAAAGAATTAGTGGGTTTTGTACAGCATGCTACTTGTGACAATTCCAATCGGTCCAGTTGGAACATCAAATACCCGAGAGCTGTCTGCTTTGACGTTGACTCCATGGATCACTGATGAGAGCAGAGAGGCTGCGTTGCTTCTTTCTTTAACATCGCATGACCAGCCATGCTGGATGCTCAGGCTAACAAGACCTTGTGGCCACAACTGTCAGCACATGCCTGTGCCATGAGCGAAGATAGTTCTGCAGGAAAACTCATCCAAGGGCAAGGTGTCGGGGTTCCGGTAGGGTTCGTGGGTCGCGGGCAGCTGCGATGACTGCACCAGCTTTGGAACCTAAGCGAGTGTGTTCGTGTAGATTGCACACATGACGAAGGCCACATAATTAACGCACACCTGTCTGATATATAACTAGTCATACGATGAGTACAGCTATATACTGAATTTCGGGAGTTGATCGGTTCCTGTTTGGTTTGCCTGCTTGCAGACACGCAAGCTGCGGGAGCTCAACGTGTTTCAGCAGAAGCATCTCCAAGAGAAGGAGCCCTTTGTGACGCAAGGTTCAGCATCAAGCAGCAGAAGCCCAGGGCAAATGGCTCCCTTCCATCAGACGTGCAAGGGTCTAGTTGTACTGCAGCCTCCAGCCTTCCCGCAGGAGAGTCAACTGGCTGTAGCCGAAGCCTCTCTGGTGGAGAAGCACACATGCCTGGCAAGAAGGCCGACCGTCCCACACAGCCCTACTGATCTCATTGTAACCTCTGACCTGTGTCCGTTGGGGCAGTCGACTCCCTCAGCGGAAAGTGTATCAGAATATGGTTCAGGCGCAAAAGGGGGGGGCAGTTCCGAGAGGGAAGTGTGGGGCAGGTGAAGTGCCGATGCTGAAAATGCAACTTTAAGACTTGGGAACATTGAAACTTCTCTCAAAGGAGACAAAGAGGCGGGCCTTTGTTTTCCAAATGCCCATCGACCTAGTTCACAGTTGGGAGAGTCTGGGAGAACATGTAACGCCTGTCTATTTCGCCTTGAATGCTGACGCGTTGACCGCAAGCATCTGCAGAAGAGTTTGCATTCCCTAAACCCTAAACCCTAAACCCCGGTTTGCCAGGGAGCAGGAGCTGGGAGACCTCCAAGCTGATCACGAAAGACAGCGAGCGGAGATCGAGGAGGGACTCCAAACGCAGCGTTGGCGATCTAATATAATATATAATAGATAATTGATAACATATAAATATATGATATATGATATATTATATATAATAGGCTCATCGAGGCTCTAGGCCCCTAGGCACGATCCTTGCAAGGAGCTTTGCGACGTGGTCGCCTCGCGCGACGACGAGGCCGTGGACCGCAGCTGAGACGTGTCAGGGCTGGTTTCGTCTACTCGAGAAAATGCCCTGGCACGGAGCAGGTCGGCAGAATACGATCGCAACTGGAAGTCTACGAGGACCAGCACGACTTGCAGTGCATGCTTGGGACAAGCGTAACCAGCAAGGCACAGATGAAGGGGGCTATTATTCCCTGGCAGCCCTTATTACTACCTAATCATAGAACTTCTTGTACCCCTTGCAGTATTCAAGCCGCGGACATCTTTTGATGGCAAAGGCTGCGGAGAGGAGGAAGCACAGCCGAGTCCCGAGCGTCGATGCGGCGTATGGAGTTTGGCATTCAGGGCCTAAGATCTAAATCCAATCTTGGGATGCTGCTTAGGAACATGAGATGTAGATTCAAAACTGGCCGTGGATTCTGAAGCATGTGGTCTTTCAGGAGCTCAGCTTTCAGAAGGCAGGATTTGGGTCATGATCGTGTTGAAGTCCACCTGTCGAAGACATGCCGAAAACAGTTTCTGCTTCTTCAAGCTAAGGCTACCGTCCTGGCCCTTGCGATGGCTCCTTCGTTGGCCGCCTGGCGTGCCTCGGAGCCATTTGACCGGGTTGCATGCTGATGCTGCTGGAGCTTTCCGTTTTGTAGTTCTTTTGGCGACGTTGTCCCCTTGTTGGCGTTGTAGGTGGGGAAGCATTTCACACGTCTTTCTTGCTGTGCAGGTCCTCTCGCAGTGGGCCACTGGAAGATACTGGCTCCGGGCCGCTTGGCTGGAGTTTTGTATCGGCCATAGCGGCGAGACTGTTGCAGACTATGGCTCTGGCAAGGCGAACCTGGATACACTGCCAAGCAACACGAGAGTGGTTGCAGTGTAAGAAGCTGCTGCTGCTGAAGCTGGCTTCTGGCGTTGCTTTTGCTCGTGTTGTTCATATTGCAGCCGTTCACTACGCTGCTATGACAGCTTGTATTCCTATTGATTATTGGTTAATTATTGTTAGTCGTTGTTGTCGTCGTCGTGTGCGTAGTCGTAGCAGTAGTCGTCGTCGTCGTCGTGCTGTTTGTAGAGTGGTGGTCCTGGTGGCGGCGGCGGCGGTGGTGGTGGCAGCGGTGTGCCCATGCTTGCAGAATCCAAGATTTTGTTTGGATGAGACCACAGCCTGAAATCTCAGGCAATCCCCTCCAAAAAAGAAGCCCAAGCCCCCAAAACCAGGCCGCCTTCCTCCGCTAGCTCTGCGTATCCCTCCGCGCGGGGTTCCGCGCCGAGGCCGGGCGCCTGAAGCGGCGGCTTTTGCGATCATTGGGGTTGAGGCTTATGGATTAGCATGTGACTGTGTAGGGTTTTATGAACGGAAAGATGGATGGGATGAGGAGGACCACGCAGATAGCAGGAGTGTTTATGGTTGAGTTCCCAGCCTGGAGCCTGCAACGTTGGGGCACGGAGGCCTGAGATTCGATGACAGGTACAATGACTCTGTACCGTCCACACCGGGAGCGTGACTCCCAGCAGTACGGGCCAGGTCAGAATTGCACCTGTCAGAAATAGACAGAAAAGGATGACTTGCAGCTGGAAGTGTGAGGTGTGAAGAAAGCATCTCAGGGACGAATTGTCAGCAGCGGGAAACCAGCAGGAAATCCGGGGTCTGAAATCCTGCATACACTGTTCTCTGTCTTGTTTTGCGACGCTTTCAGGGGCAGCCTTGAAGCAGGGGTCTAGGAAGGTGGCTGAATGCACAGACGTATCATCGCTGTAGTAAGATGTAACCCAAACCTGATTCAAACCGTTATGGCCCCTGCTACTAAACCCCATAGCACCCTATAAATATCCCTTTTCGAATCCTTTATTCTAATCAGTCAGGCCCCTCTACTCAACCTTACAGTAGCCCTTGTAGACCCTTAGGAGCCCAGAAAACGGACCCAAAATTAGGCATATAGGGGCGTAAACACTTGCGGATACTATTTTTGAGATTCCCTAACTATGATAGTTTTCATGTAGTTTCCCCCTAAGCCAATTTCTAATTTCTACGGCCCCTTTTGAAGGAACACTTGAAGGTACTTGATTATAATTATCCAGGCCCCCTCTATTAGTTCCATGCTTTGCGCCAAGGCACAGAGCCCTGTCACCTTTTCATCTCTCCGACGGCCGATGCGTCCGAAGCTCAGGGGGCGCCTGAAGAAGGAGAATAAGAGTTGAAAGGGTTTCGTTTAAAAAGGGGCCTACAAGAATAATTACAATTGTAGGCCTTACATTGGCGGAGTTTCCATCGAAAGACAATAATGGACTTTAAGGACTTTAAGATAGAATATGTTTCAAGCTGGTTCATCAGCTGCCCTTTGATGCATGCCTCCATCCTGAGAGCAAGCTTGCACTCCCAAGGTATACCAAAAACAAAGATGCTTCGCTCGTCATTCGGAGGTGAGTATAGATCTGCGATTGCAGGCAACTCATTACTCCTCGGGTAAGGAAGCAAAGCGAAGGCGGAGCCAAACCTCATACATGAATTGGCGAATGTCTTCGTGCTTTCGACGTACAACTCGCTCAGGTCCGGTGCTCTCCATGGATCGAGATGAGCGTGCTGCGCAGCCTTCTCAGCCCACGGAAACTGCGAGTGTGCGGATTTGACCTGTGCTCTGCATCTTAACCATGCCCGAAGCATGGAAACATCAGCACCATCTGCAGGTTTCTGTCCCACTTCCCAATGGCGTCACGAACGGAGAGGCTCGTTAATACTGTTCCGGTTCCGCAAGGTAGAAGCATCCTGTACTGCCATCTCACTTCAGCTCGAAGGCTCATGCGCACCCGCATCGATGGCAAACGCTGATCCTATCTTTCGATCGTCAAAAGATGAAGCGGATCGGTCTGGGTGATCAAGCCATGTTGACTCCCTGTGTCTCTGCAGAGTGCCGGACTGCATATTTGGATTGGGATTTAAGAGGGACAATTTTGACTTCACTTGTGTCGTGTCCAATCGGGAACGTTGGCTCGTTCATTAGCTTGCGTGCCATCGTCCTTCGACACCACAAAACGATTTCAATTTCTGGGGCTACCCGCCTGAATATGCTAAAACTAATTATTAAATTGAAATAG